AAGGTTTTTATATCAGAGCACAGAGGGCTGCAGTACACATCCTTTACTCAAGTAGAAGTACAGATACTCGTGTTTAAAATACTCTGGTAGAAGTAGAAGTACTGACTAAACTTCTTTACTCAAGTAAAAGTAAAGAGGGCTTTGAAATGTACTTCAGTAAAAAGTACCCATAACTAGCAGCTGTTTTAAAGAGTACATTTCATTTAGCTGACGCTTTTATCCAAAGCGACTTACAATGACCAATTACAGGGACATTCTCCCTGGAGTAACTGAGGCTAAGTGCCTTACTCAAGGACACACTAGTGCCTTACTCAAGGGCACACTAGTGCCTTACTCAAGGGCACACTAGTGCCTTACTCAAGGGCACACTAGTGCCTTACTCAAGGGCACACTAGTGCCTTACTCAAGGGCACACTAGTGCCTTACTCAAGGGCACACTAGTGGTGGTACCAAAATGTGGTAACCGTGACTGAGGTTACCACATGTAAAGCTAGTCACTGACAACGCCACCTCCTGCTAAGGGGCAGGAGGAACCCGTGGACCCTAAATGTAAGTGTATGTCGTGGACCGATTTTAAAGCCTCCCTTAATAGGTTCAATTATGACAGAGGCATGAATTCCAAAAATATAACGCAGCTTTATTTAACAAGTGTTGGAAACAGTTTAAAATGTCAATTCATGTAAAGTGTTAAAATGGCAAATATAATTCACCACGTATATAAGTTACCCTCCTCAGTTGGGCAGGCCTGGTCCGCTGGGTTGCAGTGCCTGCTAATCGTTAAATATGTTTAAGACGTCTATGAGTTGAATTATTTTACTCAAAACCAAAGAAAATTCAGATGATGGAATATTCCAAGAGAGAATTATTTTTGGAAAAATTGGCATAATATATTTCAATATTTGTCTGACTCATTATTAATCTAATAACCGATGATGATTTTTTAATGGACTACTGTACCTAACCACTTGACCTAACTACAATAATAATAATATTAATTATAATTATAACAAACAATAAAAACAGTAATCAAAAAAATATTAATATTAGAAAAAAAAGGAAAAAATATGTAGAAAAAACTACAAATAATAATCATAATAAAAAAATGCATTATAATAAACAAGATGACGGATTCAATAGGTTTGACTTCCTTCAGATAAACATCTCACTCTGCTACTACTGCCATCGTTTGTGAAATGGTTTGAACACATGAAATTAAATTGAGGTTCAGTTATGAAAATCTGCAATGAACGAGAGAGATTACATTAAAATGCTTCAGGGTGAAATAAACAAGAGACAATATGTGTGACTGTCTGAGAGAGAACAGCGACAAATAAGAAGACTGTGGGCTATCTCCTGTTGACGTCAGGACGCTAAGACATTTCATCCCTGAGGTGTTGTGTAAATATTAATGAACACATGTATGAGTTTTAAGTAGAAGTACTCAGATCTTGTACTTGAGTAAAAGTAGAAGTACTCAGATCTTGTACTTGAGTAAAAGTATAAGTACTCAGATCTTGTACTGGAGTAAAAGTAGAAGTATAAATTGGAAATACTCAAGTAAAGTACAAGTACCTCAACATTGTACTTCAGTAGATCTTACCTCCCACGTCTGGTTTTAAGTAACTGGGTACTCTGTATTTAAATTGTTAAGAACCGTTATGATATCACAACAGTATTGTTTCTCTCTCTTCCTCACTTCATGTCAACACACCTGTTTTATTTGTATTTCCTCCACAGAGTGGTATAAACGCAGCGGTGA